CTTGCACTATCATAGGCATTCATTCGGAGCTCTTCTAGCTCATGAAGATCTAGCATCCTTTGTTCACCCGCGGCGTGGAGATCAAAATTGATTTGCTTAATGGCCCAATTTGCTTTATGCTCCATTTCAACCGGGAGATGGAAATTTTTCCCATACAAAAGCTTATAGGGAGTTGTCCCAATTGTAGACTTAAAGGCAATCCTGTAAGCCCATAATGAGTCAATGAGCTTACTAGACCAATCATTCCTTGTTCTAGCAACGATCTTCTCCAAGATGACTTTCAACTCCCTATTTTTGACCTCCGCTTGACCACTTGTTTGGGGGTGGTAAGCAAGGCCTCGCTTGTGCGATACACCATACTTTGAAAGAAGCTTGTTGAATGTATGGTGCTTGAAGTGTGAACCTCCATCACTTATGATTTCCTTAGGACCACTGAATGGGAAGATGACTTTCTTGAACAAATTGACAACCACCTTTGATTCATTGGTGGGAGATGCCACGACTTCCGCCCATTTGGAAACATAGTCAACGACAACAAGAATGTGCCGGTTCCCTTGAGATGAGATGAAAGGGCCCATGAAGTCAATTGCCTAAACATCAAAGATTTCGAGCTAAACGACAACAAGAATGTGCCGGTTCCCTTAGCATCTCGTCACGCCTTGAGATGTTTCCTGTCCTTTGGCACCTATAACATATCTTCACAAAGGACCAAGCGTCCTTGAACAAAATCGACCAAAAGAGCATCGATTGCAAGACTTTAGAGGCGGTCTTTTGGGCACTCATGTGTCCACCACAAGGGGATGAGTGGCATATTGAGATCACACTTTGGAACTCTTCATTGGGAACACACCTCCTCAAAAGCCCATCCACCCCTCTTTTCAACAATGTTGGATCATCCCTTATGTATTTCTTAGCTTCATACTTAAGCCTTCGTTGTTGTTGAGAAGTGAAAGTTGATGGTATATCACTACATGCAAGGTAATTGACGATGTTGGCAAACCAAGGGGTTTCCTTGGCATCAAGAGCATATAGCACATCGTCCCTTAAAGCATAATCAATCGGGAGGTCGTCTTCAATCATTCTTGTGCTTCCCAATCTTGAAAGATGATCGGCTACCACATTCTCGGCTCCCTTCTTATCTCTTAATTCCAAATCGAAGTCTTGAAGGAGCAAAAGCCACCTCAACAACCTTAGCTTTGCCTCCTTCTTGCTCGTCAAGTACTTGAGAGCCGAATGATCGGTGTACACTATTGTCCTAGACCCAATGAGATAGGGCCTAAACTTCTCAAAAGCATGAACAACCGCTAGGAACTCCTTCTCGGTTGTGGTGTAGTTCCTTTGCGCATCGTTGAGAGACTTTCACAAATAGGAAATCACATGTAGCCTACCCTCTTTTCGTTGCCCTAGAACCGACCCGATGGTCTCATCACTTGCATTACACATTAATTCGAATGATAGTGACCAATTGGGTCCTTGACAATCGGAGCGGAACACAAGGCTTCTTTCAACCTAAGAAAAGCACTCAAACAAGATTCATCAAATAAAAAATATTGATCTTGTTGTAGAAGAGATGTGAGGGGCTTAGCAATCAAAGAAAAGTTCTTGATGAAGCGGCGATAAAAGCCAGCATGACCAAGGAAAGACCTCTCTTCTCTCACATTTGTGGGAGGAGGATGCTTCTCAATCACATCAACTTTTGCACCATCAACTTCAGTTCCCGATTGGGAGACCTTATGGCCAAGCACAATACCATTCTCCACCATGAAGTGGCATTTCTCCCAATTGAGCACCAAGTTGGCACTCTCACATCTTTCTAGACAACGAGATAAATTCAAGAGGCACATCTCATATGTACCTCCGCCCACAGAAAAATCATCCATAAAAACCTCCATCTCTTCCTCAATCATGTCACTAAAAATTGACATCATGCATCTTTGGAAGGTAACCAGAGCGTTACAAAGACCAAATGGCATCCTACGGTTGGCAAAGGTACCGTAGGGGCAAGTAAAAGTGGTCTTTTCTTGATCCTTTGGGTCTATTGGGATTTGGAAGAATCCCGAATAACCATTAAGAAAGCAATAGAATGCATGCTTTGTAAGCCTCTCAAGCATTTGATCGATAAACGGTAATGGAAAATGGTCTTTGGAAGTATTAGCATTCAATTGGCGATAGTCAATACACATACGCCAACCCGTCACAAGGCGGGTTGGGACTAATTGTTGCTTGTCATTGACCATTACCGTCATCCCTCCCTTTTTGAGCACTACTTGAACCGGGGACACCTAATCACTATGAGCGATTGGATAGATGATCCCCGCTTAAAGAAACTTAGAAACTTCCTTCCTTACAACCTCTTGCATGGAAGGATTATGTTTCCTTTGCCTTTGCCAACACGGCTTAGAACCCTCATCCAAATATATTTTATGCATGCATAGAGAGGGGCTTATACCCTTGAGGTCCTCAAGGGCATAACCCAAAACCTTTCTGTGCTTTTTGAAAACATTAAGCAATAGGGAGGTTTGCTCATCCGTGAGGCTTGCATTGACAATGACCGGAAAAAATTCATTTGCATCTAGGAAAGCATACCTCAAGCCCGAAGGTAGAGGTTTCAAGTCTACCTTCGGTGCTCCCTTACCATTGGAGACCTCTTCCTCTTCCACTTGGAAGACTTCATAAGTTGGGAGTATCTCTTGGTCGGTTGTTGCCTCCACTTTGTTATCAAGCATCTCCTCATATACTTGCATCTCCTCCTTTTGATCACCTATCTCATTCTCATTCAACAAAACATTCTCAAGTGGATCGTTAGAGGCATGCACATGAGGGTATCGAAATTCATATTCAAATTTTCAAAAGTATCTACCCTAAAGCATTCATTACTTGCGGAAGGTTGTTTCATGACATTGTTCAAATCAAATTCAATAGAGTCATTATCAACCTTCAAAGTCATTTTACCTTCTTTAACATTAATTATTGCTTTAGAGGTAGCTAGAAATGGTCTACCCAAAATTATAGGAATCCTCTCATCCTCGTTCATCTCTAGAACATAAATGTCCACCAGAAATGTGAACTTACCAACTCTAAGGGGAATGTCCTCAACTTTCCCTATGGGCAATTTAGTGGTCCTATCCGCTAGTTGGAGGGTGATATTGGTAGGTGAAATACTTCCTACATTGAGTTTTTGGTAGACCGAGAAGGGCATAAGACTTACACTAGCGCCTAGATCGCACAATGCCTTTCCTAAGTGAATCTCATTAATGGAACAAGGAATGGAAAAACTACCGGGATCTTGCAATTTTTTTGGAAGCTTGCTAGAAAGAATGGCACTACAATTTGCGGTCAAGTTTATAGTTTCAACTTATCTCTTCCCATTCAATAGGTCTTTTAGGAACTTAGAGTAGTGGGGTGACGAGCGCTAAATCGGTCGCACAATTTAGGCTCATTCAAACACATTTATAACAAACACCTCACTCAAACAAGTACAATGGCAAGCAAGGGTTCGGTCCACGGAGAACGGGAATCAAATGCTAAATAATCTTAATGCTCAAGCTAAATCGAAATCAAGGTATAAGTGGTGATTAACTAACAAACTACTACTAAAGGTTGAATTCAAGGGATTAAAACACTAGGGGAATGGGATTCACTCAACCAATAGCAATTAGACAAATAGGGAGGAATGAGGGTAATGGAATAGCAAAGACCACATGCAAGATCAACATCAAACGTATGAAAACAACTCAGATTACTAAGCTTAGATCCCTCATTAACTTAGGAACAAAAGATACATAATCATATTGCAATAGGTAATGAAACATTCAACTCACATTTCCATGTCGAACCAAACATTTCATGCCATCAAGTTCAATAATCTAGGTTAATTACTCCTATCATGATGAACTAACAAGCAATCCCATATAATCAAGTTTAGTCGCAATCCATCATCAAAACCACTCCCAAACTCACATAATCACCAATAGGTTGAGTTTCACCCAACCCCTAGCCAAGAGGACTACTCACAATTCATTGTGAGTACATGCAAATTCCAAGTTTGGATTATAAGCGATTCTAAGATTTGGAAAAACAAGTGATTATCTATGGACAAAGCTAACATGCAACAACAATATATCAAGATTGAGAGAAAATCAAGTGGCTTACAAAACAAAAAAAATAAAATCAGAAAATAATGAAGGACAAATGAAAGAAGTTACTATTGAAGCTTCAAAAATGTTGGATAATTGCTGAAATTCTTGAGATAAATCTTGAAATTTGCTTCTACAATTATTAGATTTGAGAGTTTCTAAAACTAAATCAACTAATTTAATGAAGTTGCTAACTAAGAGAGAGTATCTTTTTTTGCTGAAAACTATTCTACTGTTTTTTCTTCTCTCCTCGAAAAACGATCTCAAAAGGACCTTAAATAGTCCGTACAAAATTGGCTGAGATCGGGAAAAGGTCCGACCGAACTCTGGGTAGGTTCGGTCGGACTCAGGGTAGGTTCGGCCGAACTCTGTGTAGGTTCGGTCGAACCTCCCTGATCCTTGTTTGGTCGAACTTTTGAGGTTCGACCTCTCCTGCAAAATTGCTGAAAACTGGTTTGACATTGCCTTCACTGCACCCTGGAGGTTTGGTCAAACTTTTCAAAAGTTTGACCACACCTAGGTTCGACCGGACCTTTCAGAGGTTCGGCCACACCTCCTCTTGCACTTCCTTTTCTTGCTTCCTCTCCTTCCCTTTTGCTCCTCTTGCCTTTGTCCATGGCTTCCATACTTGGCCAAGGGGCCTCCCACCGTGCATAGGACCGTCATGGAACCTGCAGAAGATACCAAAGTTCACGAGAGCATGGGGATGATAAAATAATGCATAAAGATTATCAAAATAAGCGCAAATAAGCATTACTTTTCATCAACACATAAAGAAGCCATAAGAGGATAAATGAGGTGGAAAAAACTAAGAAAAATAAGAGGAAAAAGACCTAAATACTACCCCTAAGAGTGACATAAATGTCACTCATCATGGGGCATCTCCTTCATGGGATCCACAAAAGGTATCAAAACATGCAAACCATTGACTACTTCTAAGAACTTTCCAAATTGGGCATCAAGCCTAGACCTAGCAAACCTTTGGGGATATGGAAATTTCTCATTCCTAGGTTGTCGATTTAGGGGCAAAAGTGTTTGATCTTTGTCACTCTCTTTTGTTGGCTCCTTCTCTTTTTGCTTCTCACCCCTCTCATTTTCTTTTTCTTGGACCTTACTCTCTTTAGGTGGCTCATCCTCATCTTCTAGTTCTATCCTCACATTGGAACTTTCCTCATAATTTGACCCACTCTCAAGGACTTTCCCGCTCCTAGTAGTGATAACATACATAGGTTTGGGGTTGACACCTTGTCTAGGAAAAGAGGAAGAGGAAGAAGGGGAGGATGAAGAACTAGGTTGGGCTATTTGAGAGATTTTGGTCTCTAGCATTTTCATATGCGCCTTGATTTTCTTATTTTCCTCCTCTTGGCTTTTGTTAAAGATCTCTTGATTCTTGATGAATGCTTGAAGCACGCCCATCATAGAATCCGGAGCGGCTACCATTTGAGGAGGAGGTAAGTTGGAATTTTGGGCTTGCGGTCTCACTTGCTCAAAACCAGGAGGTCTATTTTGAGGCCTTACATTTCCGGAACCCTGATTGGAATTAAAACGTTGTTGGTTGTTGGAATAGTGTTGTTGGTTTTGATTCCAATTGGGCCTTTGGTTTGAGTAACTTCTTTCATTGTGATTGGAAGAGCTTCCATTGTGATTGGAAGAATTTCCCCTACCTTGGGCTTGGTTATCATAACCACCACCACTTTGATTCCATTGATTTTGATTCCAACCTTGGTTTTGATTCCAACCACGGTTTTGGTTTTGATTCCAACCATGGTTTTTGGTTTTGATTCAAACATTTCCTTCATGGGGCACAAAATTCATGGCATTAACATCTTCAACATTATCACCATTTTCATGGGGAGGGAGACCTTCACTTATGGACATACATTGTTAAGAATTATGATCATAGTTTCCACATATATCACAAAACATACAAGCGGGGGGCATAGCATTGTAATTAGAAGGAGAAGAAGTAGAGGGGCTCATACCATGGCCTCCCTTGGTAGAAGGAAAGAACTTTGAGAATTTTTCTTCATAAACTCTTCCATTTTCTTAGCCATTTTGGCCATTTGGTTCGAAAGTTTGGTGATTCCATTTGTTTGCTCTATGGATTGCACCGTACCTTTGCTAGAAGTGGCTTCCCTCTCACCTGAAAGGAATGGTGTCCTTCCAACAAGTGTATTATTCTGATAGAGGGTTCAGAATTATTACAGAGCTAATTCTTCAGTAAGATCAAGTGATCGGAATGCCTAGGTGGAAGCCGCTTCCGATCAGTAATATTAAGGTATAATTATTATTACAGCTTAATCTTAACAGAACCCTTCGGGTTGAACCCAATCGAACAACCGATCCGAGACAACGAATCAATCCGAAGGATTTAATGAGTCGTTAGAGTTTTACGAACAAAGATGTCGGATATCGAGCCTAGGGCATCGAGGATGAGTGTTGCAAAATCACAAGCAACAAGTACGAGCATAGTCGTAGCTAGCCTAGGCTAGCTCATCGCAAGCCTAGGCGCATTATGGTGTGCTAGGTGCGCCATGCGTGTTAGGCACACTAGGCTGCCCATCGCAGCACCACCTACGTGTGTGCGTGCCTTCACATGGCACTGCAGCACAGCAGTGTGCGTGCATGGGTGCCTAGGCACTGTCGCAACCCATCGCACCATCGCAGCACAAGCACAGCACTATCGCATGGCTGGGCCTGTGTGTGTGTGCGTGTGCGTGTGCTTATGCCTAGGCCTGTCGCACCATCGCTGCACGCATCATAACACAATCGCAGTGCTGGGCACTTGCGTGGGTGTGCGTGTGCGTGTGCTTATGACTAGGGCCATCGCAAGCCATCGCAGCATTGCAGCACCAAGCTTCGCATTCTTGTGCGTGTGGCTGGCGAGGCAAGGGGCCAGCATGCGTGGCTCGCTAGCAGCACGCATGCTGGCTATGCGAGTATGTGCGAGAAGGGGTAGGCAGCAGCACCACATGCCTGTGCGTGTGTGTGTGTGCGATGGCCAGGCAGCAGTGCCCAGCGCCCAGCACAAGGCGTGGCTCGCTAGCAGCACGCAAGTGCTGGGAGGGCTGGGTGATGCGTGTTGTGCGTGCCAGCTTGGCATGCTAGGGTGGCTGTGCTTGGTGGCCAGCAAGGGAAGCACCTAGCTCACCCAAATGCATTGTGGCGGTTTTATGAGGGGTGGGGACCAAGGCTTTGCCCAAGCCTTGGGGAGCAAGGAAATGGTCCCCCCCACCTCTTCTTGGTCCTCACTTAACTCTCTTTCTCCCCTTGACACTTGTTGTATTGTGATTGCATTTAATTAATTATTTAATTTAGAATTAAATAAATTAATGATTGGGATTTTGAGAAAAACACTTGAGTAGAAAAGTAAAGGAAACTCCATTATTGAGTAAACCTTGAAATTCTTAAAACTCCAAGTTTATAATTGTCCGGGCCTCGACTAACCTTCGAGGCTTAGGACGCTCGGGTCGGGTTCGAGGGTACGATCCCGTCGGAGGCCTCGTGTTTTCGAGGTTCAAGTAAGAGCTCATAGTTGAGCGAAACACGCGTCAAAGGTATAATATTTTATCCTTTATTATGCTTTTAATTATGTTTTGCTTGTTAATTGCATTTATTATGGGGGCGGGTCTTGGCGGGTTTCATTCCGCGTAGTGTGCGTCACTACGAAACCCTACAGGGGTATCGGAGTCACGCTCTTTTTAATTTTTGCAATTATTGATTAATTAAGGTGTTTTAAAGTAAGATTTAAATTCTGGTTTTGCTTTTCTAATTAGATTAGAAGCTCGTTTTAATTAATTTTAAAACTCATATTTTTTATCGATTTGGCTGTCGATCCCAGATTTTGGCTCAAAAATAGTGATTTGTGGGTGGAATCGACATTCTGAAACAGATTCAATCCTTATTAAGGGATTTCCAGAAGCCAAATTCAAACCAGAAACCAAGTTTTTGGGGTTTTTTTTCGTTTTTTCAACGAAAATTTTAAATCCTTTTATGCCTTGATTAATGCAAGTATTACAAGGTTAGATTAAATGCATTATTGCATCCCTAATCTACTGCTATTTTAATTATCCTTGAGCATAATTATGGAGTTTTAATTAGTGCTTGAGTTGATATGCCATTTTTCACACAAACTTGATTTTTCACAATTATGCAAATAAATTGCATTAATGTGTGAATGTTTGATGTGAATGTGTAATTTTAAGTTCCCAAGTATGTTAAAGTTCTAATCCTTAAAAGTTTAAATGATTGGAACTCTAACCCTAAATTCCATATTGAACAAAGTTTGGATCTTTCATTTTGGTTGATTAAAATCCATGAAGTTCAAATACTTGTGAGTAAAATTTTGATTAATCTTCATATTGGAAAATGTAATCTTGATATTTTACACAAGTATGAAAGTTGGAAATATTTTATCATTAGATGGTTAATTTATTTTCCAACTCCCTTTTGTCAAATCCATTATTAATTTAAATATTGGCTAAATTAATTATGGACATAGCCTTTCCATTTTGTTGTATCAAGTTAGACCTAAAATTGATTCAAAGAATGGTTCTTGAATAATTTTGGCTTGTGCACTATTAAAATTGAATTTATTTAAGTTAGACTTGTTATATTTTCACTTTTCTCTAAATTGATTCTAAAATAAATTTAGAAATAATTTTATCTCACACGAATATTGGGATTAAAATCCCGAGTCAAAAGCGCACAAATTGAGACAAAGACACCCAAGCACCACCTAGGCTAGCTGGGCTGCTCTCGCAGCCCACATGTGGCTACCTTGGTGCGCATGATGGTGCTCCCATCTCGCTGTGTTGCTGCTGTGTGGGGAGCAAGGATAGTGCACCAAGCGTGCTGTTGTGTATGGTGTGTGGCTGCTGGGCACTGCTCGCAAGTGATGCTAGGCAGCGAGGCAGCAAGCCACAGCAGGCCAGCCACACCTGCCAGCACACATGCGCGCATGCTAGCATGCAAGCATGATGCGTGCTGATGCTAGCAGGCGCAACAATGCCTTGCTAGGCAGGCTGGCTGCGCCCAAGCACAGCACAGCCGCAGCCATGATGCTAAGCACTTGGTCTTGCGTGGGCTGTTTTTGGATGCATGGGCTATGTAATTTTGCCAAAATTTTTGCCATTCTAAAATTATTTATGTAATTATTTTAACGAGGTTAGACCTCGATTTTTCCGGCTTTTGCAAAATTTTGATTTTGACAAAATTATGGGTTATGCTGACTTAATTAATCGGATTAGTTAAGTATGGATGCAGAATTTAGTGGGAGCATAATTGTTTGCTTGAGCAATTTGCTTTTAGAAATAATGGATTAAACAACTTTGACTAGTTTTAATTAGGCGCGTTAATCGGATTAACCACCTAAGTTAGTTACTAGTTTTGCGTGTTTAATTATGTATTTCGTAAAATGCATGGGCTATTCACAAATAGTGAATGGGTGAATGAAAGATTGTTTTCAAAATAGGTTATTGAAAAAGGCAACTAGTAGGGCCCGACTAGGATAGAAAATACGGATTGCGTTCCGTTATGTATTTTTGTAAATCTAAATACGGTCTGCGAACCGTTAAGTATTTTTGTACTTTAGATTAATCTTAGTCGAACTAGCTAGTTATTTATTTTTGCCAAGATGTCTCAAGACGGAGTTTCGATGAAGACGAGCCAAGATGAAGACCCATGGAAATTGAAGATTTCAAGGGGTCATGCTAGTTGCCAAATGCATCATATTTGTGCCTTATATATATTGTTGTTTTATATATATATTAAAGGTTAGATGCATGTCTAGGATTTCAAATGTTGCGATGATTAGTTAAGTTCACTAAAATCAACCAACATAGAAACCCTAGGTCCCTTAAAATATTGATCTAAAATATGCCATTCCAAGTACAACACTTACCGAACTAATGCGCGTATGTGATGGGCTACGCCAAAGCGAGGCATCACTACTTCCTTAGGGAGGTAAGGTATACTAGGTATACAAGTTGTCTTGGTTAAGCTCAACGATATCGGTAAGGAGTCCTTAGATGTCGTGGCAATGGAGAAAAAATGTCAAGGAAGCATTAGATGCGACATTTTATCGAACCAAGAGTAGCTTGGAGCAATTAGCAATTGGATTGCTTACCCTAAAATATTAAGTGTTAAGACAAGCCAAAGCATGCTTAATAACTTTCTGATTTTTGGGATCTTGGAATCGTTTTATTCTCGCCAAAAGGGACAATTTTTAATGCGTGGATAAGACGCGTAATAAGATTGAAAGTTTGCATGTATGCTTCGAATTTCAAACTTATTATGATCTTGATAAATGGTTAAACTTTACACTTATATTTGTAGAATTTGTAATCAAATTATATTGTTTCCATTGATTGGTAAAAAAATTTTTTGAGAATGGTTCTCAAAGAATGGAAAGGCAT